CGAGAAAAAAAAAAAAAAAAAAAAAAAAAAAAAAAAAAAAAAAAGAGGCAAGAAATCAGTCGATACGATATGGATGCGGACGGAATAGGAACGAATCGGAAACGCATGCGTATATATAACCCTTTTCCCATCGGCGACAAAGTAGCATTTTTTTCCCGATTCGTTTATCTGCATACGCGCACGTGCGCATGCAGAGTGCCACATATTCTTTTACGAATTGGCTCTATTTAAATCTGAGCTCCGTCTGGGGGATAAAATAATTCACATGTCAACCGGAAATGTTCTCACTTCTCGATCATAATAAAAGAAAAAAAAAATATACATAAGTATATATATACCGTAAGTGAACTGTTAAGTAAAAGTGCCCACTGCAGCTACAGAGGTGTGTAAAAGAAGTCCGTCTCTTCCATTTCTACATGGATGTATGTTCTTAAGTGTATGTAGAGATTCGCCGTTCCGGTGTGTTACTGTTTTTTTTTTTTTTTTTTTTTTTTTTAAATTGGACAAAGCCATGTGTTTAGGACAAATGCGCAGACATATGGGTGCTCATCGCAGAGGTTTAAAAGTAGCCGCAGAAATGCACAAAATTGCGTACAATTACCCAATATAAAATAAATTAATTTGTGACGAAATTGAGAAAAATGGAACGAGTCACGAATTTCTTATAAGCGCCCTGCTGTCTGCTGTGCTGGAAGGAATGAATTTCACGCCTTATGTGCTCATGGGTGAAAGAAGCAGCGGAGGGACTTTTCATATTCGCACGCATTTTATTAACAAGTGCTTATGTAGAAAGGGCGCAGTGGAATAGTAACATCCACTTCAGTACATGTGAAAATTGGAGAATGTACAAATGTGTAAGTTTGTACGAGTACTAATTATGCCCTTCGGGTATTGTGGACATCAAATTTGATATACTCCACGGATGATGATTTCTAACCCTCTCCTCATGTGAAACACGCAACGTTTCCTTTTCTCAACACGTTCTTCCCATCCTGGGACAGAAAACGACACCACATCGTGTATACATTGCGTTTATGCGATTTTCTTTATGTACGGAAAATATACCGGTTTTGCAAACAAAATTACTAACAGTGTATAGGAAAGACAAAGCAGTGTTTCTTCTCCTGGAGGCGAAATGTTTACCATTTATGAAATAATTAAAAAAAAAAAAAATTCATATTTTTGCCTGACCGGTTAAGGTAAAATGAGCACTTCCTTGCCTGATAATTCGGGAGAACATTTAGCTAGCTCGGATGGGGGAAAAAAAAAAAAGAAAAAAACACGCCATGTAAAGGATGATGGGGATGTTAAGCAGTGCCCCACAGGTGGTTCCCCTGTGGAGGAGGCAACAAAAAAGAGGGAAAGAAAAAGGGAAAAAAAAGAAAAAAAAGGAAATTTCCAAACTACACCAAATAGCCCAAATGTCGAAACCAGTGAAAGTAGCCCGAATGGCCCAAACAACATTGGAGCCAATGAAGGCGCAGGGGACCGATATGGGAAGGAACAGGACGAACAAATCGTTGAGGTCGAAGAGGCAGCTGACGTAAAGACACGAATAGAGGTCCCCAGTGAGGATCCACACACAAATCAAAGCGTTGAAAAAAAAAAGAAAAAAAAGAAGAAAAAGAAAAAGAAGAAAGGGGAAGGTGACGAGGAAGATGCTCATGAGGAAGCTGAAGAAGAAAGACAAATGTCAACAGCGCAGGAGGTGACGAAAAAAAAAATGGAGCCACAACACGAAGTACACATAAACAAAGTGAAGAGCGAAACAAATAATGCAAAAGATGTCTTGTCAAATGGGGAGAATAACGTTGAAGATGGAGCTCCAGGGACAGGAGGACACATTGTATGTGAGGGAGACCTTGCACAGGGTACTACGACAAGTACAACCCACAAAGGCAATAACGAGAGTGCAGAAATAAAATCTACCAGTGAGGAAATGAAAGGAGGAAGAGACAATTGTAGACTCCATAGTAGCAGTTCCAGTTGTGGTAGTGATGCACATGAGCAGGCGCAGGTAAAACGTAACCAAGGGGATACACAACTGAACGAAGCAGAGAATCATGTTGGTCAAAAAAAGGAACAGGAATCACAAAGTGCAGGAGTAGAATATCACAAACAAGAAAAAGAAAATAGGGACATTTCGGAAGGAGAGCTAAATGGCGAGGGACAATGTGAACAGGGCGCACTCGTCGAAATGGAGGCCATGCATAGTTTAAGGGATAGCGAGAAAAAAGGGGAAGAGCGGAAAAGGAAAAATAAGAAAAAAAAAGAGGGTCCCAGGAAGCGCGAGTCCAAAAGGAACAGAAGGGCGAAAGGTAAAGTGGGCTCGACGGAGGGCAAAACGAACGAGGCTGATAACGAGTCCGAGCCGGCAAAAGAAAAATCTACTGAAAAAAACGAAGAACTGCTTGTCGGAGCAGCGGGCGAAGTTGAAGGAAGCGTGGAATACGCAACTGACTCAATCGCCAGGATTATTAGCACGAAGGAGAGCGATTCAAACGGAGGGGCAACGCCCAGAGGAGGCTCCTTACAAAAAATGTGCCTTTCAAACGGTGTGAAACATCTAGGTATAAATGGAGCTCTTCCATTGTGCGTTAAATGTTCAGCACTGAATGAGGATGTGCGCGCAGCTGATTAGGAATCTTGTGCTTTAAGCGATGGCTCTTGTAGAAGCACGCACCCAGGTGGCACTTCCCCACGTGTAGACAAACAAATATATACACCCCTTTTTTTTTTT